TGCTAGTTTCACTTTGATTTTTTAAAACTCAAGTAGAGTAACTCTGTTCGCAAAGAGTGCGCTTTTGTGAAGAGGGCGCCACCAAATTTTGAGGACACTTTTTAAATTGGGTCAAAGAGAGAAGTGGCCCATCTTGTTATGTACTATCATTGGTACATCTAATGGGTTCGGAGTCGATTCCTACCATTCCTAGCTTTTAAGAATCGTTAACCAGGCCGCCCAGCACTACCATCTAGGCCCAACAATCTACATTACAACAATAATAAGTACAAGTTCTGTCAACACGGAGAAGGTATACGTACGATAGTTCGACTTTCCATCCGTGATCACGACAGCGAGTTTGGCTACCCCTTGCCTGGCCCCGCATCCAGAAGTGAACATCTTATTCTTGGCTAATTTCAGGGCAGTGTGGGTCATGGTAACACCTCTGATGTACGGAGTGTTTTGGATGTCCTGATTTCAAAACAGCAGTAACAAAAAGAACCCTTTTAATCTTGGGGATAAAAAACCTTTGACCTCATAAAAATTGATTTATGATACGTTCAAAATAAGCGTCAAGGATTGATTTATAAATATGAATCTGTTCGAAAAAACACTAAGGTAATAATTAAACACGAACAGGTATCTTTCTTCCTTTTGTTCTTTCAGCTGTTCTCCATATCCAGGTTGTAGCCTACCTTTCCACTCTCTGACGTCATCTTGCCTCCTTCTTTCAGATGTCCCTCTTGACCATTTTCCTGTTCTTGATCTCCATTACCGTGTTTGCTTCAGAATAAATGTGGAGATATTTGCCACGCCTCTCCTGTTTTCTTTAGCAGATTTACTTTTGTGTACTTTATTTAAAAGTGTAATTTTATACTCTGCATCATATTATGTAAATATGTATTTTTTAAATGAAAAATCCAAAGAAAAACAGAATGAAGCAACAAAGTTTCTAAATAAAACATAAAGATTAGCCTGGCAAAACGAGGTTACATAACAATATCATGATAGGCCCAATAAGTGTCTTTAAAAAAGGCATGCACATAATCATGCGGGGTCATTTCAATAGACAAGCATTATCATCATAGACAATGATGCTGATGATGATGATAATGATGATGATGATGATGATGATGATGATGAGGAGGAGGAGGAGGAAGAGGAGGAGGAGGAGGAGGAGGAGGAGGAGGAGGAGGAGGAGGAGGAGGAGGAGGAGGAGGAGGAGGAGGAGGAGGAGGAGGACGAGGAGGAGGAGGAGGAAGCTACCGCTGCTGCTGCCGATGATGATGATGATGATGATGATGATGATGATGATGATGATGATGTACCTGGATGACTTGGTCAGCAGTGTTATATTTGTCAAAGCAGAACCGGACATTGGCGTCGTTTGAAAAGGTCAGTGCAGCCACTCTGACCTCACTACTGCTTACATCAAAGCTACCTGTGAAATGGCAAACCAGATTATAGGGAGGGAATTAGCTAACTTAGAACTGATGCCGTATGGAACGACATCAATAGGCTACCTATTCAAACACTGTGCAATTATGTAAGATGTGGGACCTTACGATTCAACGTCCACCTCCACTGGGATGGAGCCAACTTGAACGCTCTTCATACAACTTAAGTTCAAGAACGCCAGCTCGGGAATTTGAATCAGAGCCATCTGATCGGAAGTTCAGCATGACAGCGATGAATCGCTACCTTAAATATACAAAGTTCTATTTCACATTTTTGGCTGTCTTGAGTTACTAAGACCATGAGATCAGGAACCAGTTCTATCTACTCTATCAAAATCGCAAGATAATTCGGAGTCGTTAAAAAGGTATTCAAAGAATAGCCTTCGAAAAAGCTTGACATGTTGCGAAACTCAAAAATTTTTACGCCAATTTTCTTAAAACTAGATACTGAGCAGATAGAACTTTGTCATTCTAGGGTAGTGCATTGTCTCAGAGACTGGCCTCTTTACTCTCGATAAAGCGGACATATCATATATATATATATATTTATGTCCGATCAAACCAAAGTTGTTTTTCTAGGTAACAGCCGAGCGGTCGAATACCATTCAGGAGAATAATACTGCTACCATTTGAGAAATTGGTTCAATATTTTATCAATAGCAAAGGTCTCCAAACTTTTTTCTCAGCGGATCAGAAAACTGAGAAAATGCGGAGTGCGGTCAGATAACTATTTTGTTCAATAGAACGCGCTTATGTATTGAAATAGTTAAATGAAAGATTAGCCCCATTAAAGCCAAGTAAGAGTGTGATAATAGCTGATTGGTTAGAAGTTATGAAGTCTATAAAAGAATGCTCGATCTGCACCCAAGAGTTAAATAAAATGATTAAATTATCAATTTGGTGAAAGAGTCCCGCGCACGATAGAAACACGTCTTCCAAATTTTTACTTTCCCGTCATGATGGCATGGCGGTGAACCAGACGAACTGTCCCAGAGAGTGGGCCGGATGATGTCGCACGGGCCGTAGTTTGATGGTCCCTGACCAAGAGTGCATCAACTTTACTCAGCTGTTTCAATTCCTCGCTGCTGTTATGATCTATATGTATGACTTACCTACAAGTTCTTCGACAAAATGCAGCTCCTTCTTGAAGTTGTCGGCGCCCAAACTACCGGACGAGTCAATTATAAATAGGAGATCCATTTTTTTCTTGCACTGAACTGGTCCAGGAGCTGGGATTGGAATTGGGTCAATAATAGGCCCGGGCGGGGGTCTTGATCCTGGAAGAAAAAAACCCAGCAACCTTTTTTTAGGAATTGAAATGGTGAAATTATTTGAGTTTAACGCCTTTATCAACCATATAGGTTATTTAAGAGACTTATCCTCTGAGATTAACGTCCATCTCCTAAAGGACGGAGCCAAAAGGGAATTGTGTGTAAAGTACCTTTCCCAAGGACACAACTTAGGACTGAGCTGAGACTCGAACTCCCGAATCCTTAATCTTACGATTACGAGTCCCGTAGCCTAACAACTAGGCTACGGACGCCACTTAATTAAGTGACTCAAGGGTTTGCAATTTTTGATTGATTTGAGATTAGGTCAATTACCTAACGAGAAAACGGCCAGCCTACTATAAGCTTTACATATTGTTTTCTTTTTGCGTTCCCGTGCTAAAATGTCAGGGGTAGTCGACCGCTGGTTCTTCAACCTGCGATACAACTGATTTTTACGTATGTAGCCGTTTTTCTTTTTTCGTGGAGCCCCTTGCCTTCAGGAAGCCACAATCCAGTTTCGTAGGTCTTCTATAAAATGTTTATATACTGACGAGTATTTTCAGTTTTGGTAGGAATTTTTATATTTTGCACGGAAGGCGGTCGAAGCCTTATCGTTTTTTGACCACCAAGGGATCTTCATATGCGCAACTTGTACGCTGTACCTCCGATATTTTTCGCCCTTATCTAAGAAGCTAGGTGTTTGATCTTACCTACCTTAACATCAGTGGTGTGGCTGAAAGACAGCAGTACGAGGGAGCCGGGAGTAGCAGTTGGAAGAGTCAGGAGTAGCGTTAAAAGGAGTCAATAGGAGGTCACGGGAGGGGAGGGGGCGGGGAGAAAAGGGAAATGAAAACAGATGACAGAACACAACTACAGAACAGGAAAGGAGGTGAAAGTGAAAACAAATCAGAAAAGATAATTTTGTTCGTCACTGTCAGGTTTCGAACCTCGAACCTTTTAAATAGTGCTATCCGAGAACAAAAATAAATGATCCGAGTACATTCACATAAGCTACATAAAGTTGTGCGACTAATGATAATACACTAAAAAAAAACCCACGTCGTATGCAAAAAGCATGTACTCACCTCCACAGACCTGGATGGTTACTGTGATCACACGTATGATAATGGTGGTCAGTTGAGTGTAGCTGCCGACTTGGAACACCAGGTTATGGTTGGGGGACAGAGTCTGTAGCTGTTGCCAGGGCAGGCCTTGACCAATGCCAATGGTCATGATGTTCACTCCGTTAGAGATCAGGTTGTTGGCGTACTGGGCCGCCTGACTCACTGGAAACGGGAGTGGGGGTCAAGGTGGGGGGTGGAGTTAGAGGTAACACCAGCAAAATATAAAATTATTGCAGTCTTGTTTTTGTCTGTCTTTTTTCATTTTTAGAAATGTCTTATTGTTATTATTATTACTATTACTATTATTATTATTATTATTATTATTATTATTATTATTATTATTATTATTATTATTATTATTATTATTATTATTATTATTATTATCATTATTATTTGGAGTGGAAAGGGGAGGGGGTACGAAAACAAGAGAGCAGAGACAACACACTGACTTCCAATATTACCACACTTATAAAGCCAACAAAACGTACTCGGACTCAGTAGAAATGTGTCAAAGAAACTGTACAAAATATTGTGGTCCGGGGAGGTTATTGCTAAGGCTTGTCGTCTTACAGGTTAATGGTAAAAAAAAACCAACCTCCCCCCATTCCCATTTTACACAGAGTATTTCTCCTGAATACTTATCAGTCAAGGTACAAAAGGAAACAGTCTATTCTACAACCCAGTGCTTTCATATACATATTTTTAAAATTTTTTAAAAACTGACCCTCAGCTTCCAACTGTTCGCTAGCATTATGTTCATTTTAGTAGTAGGAAGGGGGATGGGGGAGGGAGAGGAGAGAGGGGATGTAGGGAGAGGGGGAGGGAAAAGGGATGTGGGTGGGGGGTGCGGAGAAGGGATGTGGGGAGAGGGGGGGGTTCCACTCACGTCCTCCAGGTCGTCCTGATGTGAGTAAAATCACGAGCTTTTGCACTCCTGGGCGAGCACCGTAATGAGAGGAGGACAGGGTGGTCAAGGCGTACTGCAGAGCCAGGTCCACTCTTTGACCGTAGCCGTTGCTGCATTGTGCGGTGTGCAGGACCTGGTGGATAAGATAGATAAGATAAGATAAGATGAGATGAGATAAGATGAGATGAGATGAGATAAGATAAGATGAGATAAGATAAGATGAGATAAGATAAGATAAGATTTAAAATGGATTACACACTCGTCGTGGTTGTAGATCATGATTTATCCCACTTGTGACTTGTGATAATATTATCAATTGCAACCCCTCGTTGATGTCCAGCTCCTGGCACATTGATTTGGTGTTCAACAACGCACACGCACAAACACACACGCGCACACACAAATATACACACACATGCCCGCGCACACACAAACACACATACACACACACACACACACACGTGCGCGCGAGCACACACTCACACAAACGCACACACTCACACATGCACGCACACAAACGCATACGCACGCGCGTGCACACTCCTATACAAACTCTCTCACACATTCTCTCCTTCACACTCAATTGTGCGCATAAACTTAATAATATAACAGTTTGCTTGCACTTACTAAAAGGCTCACAGTTACATGCACAATATAAATGAACAATAATTATCAACAGTAACAGTGTTAAGCTGGATACAAAATCAGGGGGAAATGATTAACTGAGGCGTTTGGAGTACGCATGATTCTTTCAGGAAACATGCAACTCAGTTTTGAACGGCTTATCTTTATTATTATTAGAACAGTGCAAAGTTGAATTACTCTGTATACAAAGATTACGATAATTTGAAAAAAAGATACCTATTAAGCTTCTATGAGCTGATTTGATAGTTTACCTGGTGTACCCGATCACTACTGTCATAAAAGTTGACCAAGTTTACAATTCTGTCGGAGTATTGTACCGCACTGACTAGAATGTCAGCCTGGCCGAAGTAGAAACTACCTGAAAAAGAAAAAGAAAAAGGAGCTTCGAAATTTCGATTACTTACGAAAGTACGAGCATAAGGTATCTGATTTTGGCTGCTTTTGTCGGTGGGATACAGTTAGAGACAGTAAAAGTTGGCCAAAAACGTCACGGCTAAGAAAGAGCTGTGTATGACAAAAACATCAAAATCCGAAAATGTCAAAAGGACACATTCGGAGTCGTTGGCTGAAGGTTCTTAATATGTTATTTCTTTTCAGTTTGAAGTGTTCTTATCAACAGAGTATGCCAATAAGAAAACAGATATCTAGAGGCCTCAACGTGGACACACGACGGAGTGGAAGTTATCGTAGCAATAAGGAGAACAATAACAAGGAGTGTTCTATTTATGATAATTTAGCAACTGTATGAACCCAATACACCAATCTCTATGAGCTTCACAGTCTATTATGACCCCCAGCAGATTCTGTAGCATAATAAAACAGTTTCAAAGTCGTGGGAAGCATACAGTGCATGCATACCCCCCACCCCTTTTTTTCCTTGATTGACACTTACATTTTCAGAACTGGTTAACTGCAAATTAAAACAAACAGCGCTACTGTCACCGGCGAGTAAGCCTGAGAAGAAAGCTGAAGCATACGTACTGATAAACGTGTCCACAAAGTTCAACTCTCGCATGAAGTTGTTGGAGCCCGTCGAGGCTGAACCGTCGATCAAGAAGACCACATCCAGTTTGATGTGAACAGGTCTGTCTGAAATAAATAGAGCAAAATGTTTTTAAAAACACCTAGCTATATATAATACTATAATGTCTTGGGTCTAATGGTCAGCTGTTGTTGTTCACGGTAACTTAGAACTACGTGTATTATAGTCACATTTCGAATGGAGCAGATGAGGATACTAACTAAACAATGGTATTATAATATTGGTTGAATGTCTCTATTATCACCATTAGTTCACATTAGAGGCGACACGTCCGAATGCCACGCCCGTCACTTGTAGGAACAAGTCAAATGGGTGCAGAGTCTCATAAAACTCCTTAAAATAAAGTTAGACCAAAATCGCTTTAGAGGGGATCCAAACCATTGCCACCCGCACCGCAATCAAGCAGATACCAACTGAGTTATCGGCGCAACTATCAAAAAGAAATTAAAGCAACCAAACCAGAAAACCCACCAACCATTTGCCCCAAAGGCTACTGATTTGCAGTTTACAAAATTGAATGTGTCCAGATTTACAGCATGCTGGCTATGTGGACAGACGCCCAGAGACACCAGTTTTTGTGAAATTTTAAGGACGTAAATCAGTAGTCTTATTTAGACATTAGCATCAAATTCCCGAATCAAGAATCGACTAAATCTAGGAGTGGGCCCGAGCATTATTAAGACGACCTTTTCTATTTCAAGGGTAGTATTGACTCTGTAAATAAAAAGGAAGGCGCAAGAACAGAAAGAGTTACGTGTCACCGACAAGAAAGGGAAATAATTCCAGCCTAGAATTGAAACAATACCATCTAATCACGAAAGGTTAAGTTGTTGAAAAAAAATCTGAAACCAAAAGCTTTCGCATAAGACAGATAACCCACGAACGCATGTACTGAAAAGTGTGCGTGTGTGTGCATGTGGGTTTTTTTTGGGGGGTGGGGGTGGGGATGGGGGTCACCAAAATTGATAAATATGTATGGAAAAGAACGAGCTGGCAAACATGAGACAAAGCTTGTGTATAAGACGTAGTAAGCCTTCTATGCACAGACTGAAATTAATTAACCCGTTTCTAATAATACTTACTCTGAATGACGATGGTAGTAGAGCCTCCTCCTGTGTGAGTTCCTCCCCATCCTCCTCCTCCTCCCCCAGTCCCTGTCCATACACCCCCACCTCCTCCAGCACCTCCCCATCCAGCTCCTCCACCAACACCTCCCCATCCTCCAGCTCCTCCTCCCCCAATAGCTCCCCATCCACCACCACCTCCTCCACTGCCTCCCCATCCACCACCACCTCCCACATTGCCTCCCCATCCTCCTCCTCCTCCTCCTCCTCCTCCAATAGCTCCCCATCCACCACCACCTCCAATATTGCCTCCCCAGCCACCATTTCCTCCACCACCACCAACTCCTATACTACCTCCCCATCCTCCATTTCCTCCTCCACTACCTCCCCATCCTCCATTTCCTCCCCCACTGCCTCCCCATCCACCACCACCTCCCCCACTGCCTCCCCATCCACCACTTCCTCCTCCTCCACCTCCCCCAACATGAGGCCCTCCAACTTCGCAAGCTTTGGTTGATATGTCGCCCATCATTCCGACCAGACTGTCAAAGTTTTTGGCTCGGAACACAAGGCTGTTGTCAGATGCCAGGAGTTGTAGCTCGCTCACGTCCATCTTGCCCACACCCACGCTGATCACCTGAGCGCCGCTCTGTTTCATGAGTCTTGCTTGTTCTTGGAGGTACTGGGGCGCTGTGAAGAATTCATACTCGTTTTTAGGCACAGCATTTGGCAACAGATGTTCGTTTTTGGTTTGGTTCTTTTTTTTTGTTTTGTGTGTGTGTGTGTGTGTGTGTGTGTGTGTGTGTGTGTGTGTGTGTGTGTTTGTGTGTGTGTATTTACAAATGAAGAAGTGACGCTCTTTCTTGGAAACAAGAACTGATACTCGCTTCTCTAACATAAAAAACAACAGGAGGAATTGATATTCCTTTTGAATCACAGCTATCATTTTGAGCCCAAAAAAATCCCGGTAGCTGTATTCTAGGTGATACATCCAGAGCATTCACTCTACATTTTATTTTTTTCCCTGTCCATCGAGTTTTGCTAGCAGTGGCAGTGTGATCTTGCTCGTTCCCCGCGAGTATACTCACACTAATTAATGACGTTTTCTACATAACTACTTCCAGAAAAGTGGTGTCACACGGTTGTCTTCGTTTGCCCTGTCGCATACTTTATCCATCGTTTTTTTAAAAAAATTAGTATTTTGTTTTTGTTTTGTGTGTTGTTGGGTTTTTTTAACAGTGGCCCAACTATTATAAATTATCCCACGTGCAAGAAATATAAAAAACATTATAATTAACAAAAGGACTAGGGAGGAAGGGAACAAACTCAGTTTCTTCACAATCCTTGTCCAATTTCATTTTGAGTTGTCAATCTTTGACTATGAGACTTACGTTCAGTAGATTTTCCATCAGTCAAAACGACCACAACTTTTTTGGCATGTGGTCTCGCACCACATTTTCTCGTGAAAGAAAATTCTCGTCCGAACTGGAGGGCGGCTCCGGTGCCTGTTTTTCCACGTTTGCATTTGGGACAACTGAGCCCTGCCACAGCCTGAGAGAGAGTTATTATGGTTAAGAGTGTTGGAACATTTGTGAGGCATCGTAGTAAAATCAGGTGCTCGTCAAAATATTGAAATTGAAGAAGCAGGCATTTTTAGCCCAGTTTGTCTTTTTTTAATCGAATTTTTCTTTCTTTTTTTTAGGGGGAGTGGGTTCAACACCTTGTACGTCCATATATAAAGCTCATTTCCATGTGAATTTTACTGGAAAACATAGATTAAAGGCGCCAAATGTGTACATTTACAGTTTTCGAGGACTCTCAAGCTTTTGAAATTACCAAACTTTGGCAGCCATTTTATCGTTTATTTTACCTCTGAAACCAGGCAACCCCCACCTCCTTCAATCGCAAATATCTCAACTTCTATTCAAGATACATGGTATTTTTTTTTCATCGAAAGCAATGCAAATAAACAAGCTTTCAAATTATACTAAAAACTCCATATGCCAAAAATTGACGAGCGCCAGAATTCCACCGCGTTGTGACACATTTATCTGTATCCGCAGTACAGTCCACTACAAAAATGTCTGCTTATAATTTGATTGAGGAATCACTGTTATGAGCTTATTTTTTGTCACTGTTTGTATTGATGTACAGTATACTTGTTCCTCTGGCCTGCTATCAATGGCAACTTTTGTTTTGTTGTTTTATTTTATTTTTATGTGTGAGTTTTGACACCGCGCTAAACATAAACTGGCCGTTGTAACGGTGGGACATTTGTTCTGTTATACAACTTTATAAAGATGGAAGAAACGAACGAAAAACGCACTAGCGCACGTTAAAAATCCCTTGGCGGTCATACATTCGATAAGAGTAGGCTTCGGCCGCCACCCGGGCAAAACTCAAAATTTCCTCCCAACTGAAAACACTTAATGTGTCTCGCACGCTTATATAACTTGCAGTTGCGAGAGCAGTAAAACACTTAATAGCAATAACAACAACAACAACAACAACAGCAACAACAACAGTAACACCAGCAACAACAATAACACCTCAACCCACTATTTCAGTGAATCCCTGGTCACTGCAAGATCCTCGGCAACGATCTCGCTGACAATAATGCCAAACAGGCAACAGTGCTGCCGGGCCCAGGCCTCCAAATTGCAAGTGAAAGTGCGTGCGCCAAGATAAAACTGATCACAAAAGATACCCCCACCCCCCGATATCCCACACGCGGACGAAGGAAGTATACAGGGCAATAACCTTAAAACGGGAGGCTCAAATTAAGTCCCGCAGAGACCAGTCACTACTGACAAAAACTGGACCGGTCACTTCCCTGGGCTGTGGGCCTACAAAAATAGAATAGAAAAAACATCGGACTCAATTTGTCCATTGTGCAGCGAGGAGCCCCAAGATTTGGAGCACTGGCTGCATGCAGAGATGCCCCGCCTCGGAAGTCCGGCGGTGACATATCTTGGGGGAGGATTCAGGGAGGTTGGACTGGCTCACCCACGGCCCAAGAGAGGCAGTGGCCCTGACGAAGAGCACGCTTTTCGGGGCTCCATACATTTCCTAGTGGACCCGAATGCCAGAGGAACAAGTACAATGTACAACAATAAAAACACCACCAACAACATCATCAACAACAACATATATGATCATTAAAAATGACGTTACCTGCTGCACGGAGCCCTGTGATGTGTACTGGTTAAAGCAGAACTGGTTGTGGACATTGATGGCGAAGAGGGCGACACTGACTTCTACAGCATTCGGGTTCACTTGGAATTGTTCTGAAAGGCAAACGATCACGACATACCATACCAGTGTTGCACTGTTAGATATCACATAGCATCATGCCGAACAGACACGTAGATTATCCTGGTTATACCGAGTGCACTCTGCGAGTCATATTCAGGTAATTCAGTCCGAGTCACCCATATTCATTTCTTTTTCAAAAAGAGTTAAAAATTGCTTGTTTAGCCTTATTCGACCGATTCGACTTTCGACCTTGAAAAACAAACGCTTTTGAATTTGAAGGTCACAGTCAAATTTAGTGGAATGTGGTCGATTTATGCCACAGTGGCAGCTTTTGCCTCATCCATGGGGGGGGGGGGGGGAATCTGGCTGGCCCCGACGGAAAAACAACAACAAGCTCGATCAAATCAGAGACGGACATCAAATAATAATATTGTGGGGTCTCGCTTGTTAAATAACTTCGTTGAAAGGGACCGTAAAACTCCAGCAAAATAATGCCGTAAAGTTAGATTTCGTTTGTTCGGTTTTGAGCGGGGTTTTTTTTTTTGGGGGGGGGGGGTTCTTCTTTTTTTTTAAAGTTCAGTACTTTGAAACACAGCACGTCATTAAAAGCCTATTCAAGCGTTCCTTTGTAGTGAGAAAAATATTCTTTTTTAAATTATAGGACAGAAAAAAATCCGACCCTTTGTGGATTCGAACCACAATCTTTTGTTTGGTTTTCCTTGTATGCCTATACAAATCGATTTCAAGATGTGGAATGATGTTAGCATCGTTTAACTCTATAAGTTAATAACTAACTTAGACACTTAATTTAACGTCTATCTCCGAGCTCAGAGAATGTAGAGCCACCAGAACCCATCAAAATGGCGTAAACTCATGATCTTATTGCAGCAACGTATAACAATAGAAATACATGTAGGTGATCAATAGGAAAATGAAAACCTCTTAAACGTGACACAAGTAGACGTTGACTATTAAAAAATAAGTTGACAAGCACTGTTCAATCCGAAGTCATATTGAAGCGAGTAGAATGTAAACAGAAATAACGCCGTCATTGCTCATAAATTACGCTTTTTTTCAGACCAGATGGCACAGACTGAATAGAAACCTGATTTCCAAACATATCAGTCACCTCTCCAATCAAACCAAATATTAATATAGGGGGCTCTCGTCGTCTAGAGTAAACAATGTTTACCTTTCATTCTGTAGGTCCTAGGTTCGAAACTTGACAGCGAAAAGTTTCTTCTCTAAAATGTTCTGCGTTCACCTACTTTCCTACTCTCCAACATGTTCTGTCATCTGCTTTCGTCTCCACTTTCTGCCGTTGCGAGGGCCGTAAAACAGTTACCAAAACAAATAAAAATCAAATTTCGTAGCACGTACCAAAAATTATAATATAATTTCACCACTAATCAATCACTTTTCCATTCAAACTAAATATAAAACTTTCCTAAAATGAGAGACTTAATAGTAACCTTATTTCGGAACTTACCAGTCAACTTTCCACTCAAACCAAACATACCACTTACCTAAAACGAGAGACTGAACGTAAACCTAATTTCGCAACTTACCAGTTACCTTTCCACTCAAACCAAATAAAGCACTTGCTTACAGTTAGAGACTGAAGGAAAACCTGATTTCGCAACTTACCAGTTACCTTTCCACTCAAACCAAATAAAGCACTTGCTTACAGTTAGAGACTGAAGGAAAACCTGATTTCGCAACTTACCAATCACTTTTCCGACGAACGTCTTTTCTAGTCTGAATTGTTTCGCGCTGATACTGGCGGACTTGTCCACAAGGAACAGCAAGTCGATTGGGTAACTGCACTTGCTGGGTCCTAAAAGAATACAAGAAGAAAGATAGAGAGAACCCGCGGCGTGGAAGATGTGTATGACTTCCCTAAATCAAGTGACTTTGTCATTCGTCATAAGAAATCTTGAATGAGATGTTGTGTATAGATTTCGACTGAAATCAGCTTTTTAAACATGCAAAAGTACATTTGAAACTGCTCTAACAACCACCAGATCAAGAAAATCACATGTACAATTAAACACTCTGCGCTCCCAAATCCGACACCTGCACAAAAGCGGTTTTTTAAACATTATGATGCCATTGTTCAAGAGGGTCACTATTCTTCTTGAAAATGGACTGTCGTCTTGGGCAGCTTTTACTGTAGCTTTAAATTTGGTTTCCCCAGTTCACTCAATGGAAAGTGGAACCCATATACGCAAACGTTAATGTATAATATGTATATTTAAAAACAAATACATGATATGTCTATTTGTAGGTAAAAACAAACAAACAACAAATAAAACGAAACAAAACAAACAAACTAAACAAAACTACCCAAACTCGCAGCACAAGGAACATAACGTACCTGCACCAGCTACACTGCAAGTCTTT